CCCTCCCTTAAAACTAAATCCAAAAGTAATCTGACTTATAAATACACAACAGATCAAGTATCGATAGGGTGGAGCTCCACGTCCGCACCCTCCATCCTGACATCCAGCACAATGAACATGATCTCTCTGCTGTTTGTTTTCTACATTAAGGAGCTTTGTTTTATAAAACTGTGAATTCCTCCTGTCAAGTGTTCCATTCCTCACACAAAATGCTACTTATGTGACTGAGAACACATTGAGATCATTTAGTCTTGTTTGGACACTCCTCACGAGTTATAACCAGTAGAAACAAACAACAGAACACAGAGAGAAACTGTAGGAGAACTGGAGCAGGAAGGTGATGTGCTGTAAATTGTTGGGTTTCTGTTAATGGGCTTTGGGTGGCTGCTGCTTAGTGGTTTCAGTTTTGGTCTCTCACACTGACTTCACTCAGCCCAAATATTTTGCTATTTTATTCCTTTCTCACATCTCCTCTGTACCTCCCTGACTAAATTGTTTCCACCACGATGGCACAGCCTTGGTGCTCTGCTGAGCACAGTGACAGGAAGGGGATAAAAAAAGATGTCCAAAACAGAAGCCTAGTTTCCATGGTACACCAAAACAAACTCTCAGCATGCAATGGTTTGTTGCCCCCATGGCCTTTCTTTGGTAGCAGTGACATGAAAAGGGTTGATTTATGGTAAATTACATTTAAATGAATGAAATGTAATTGACTAGCGAACATAACACACACACACGACTGTAGGACACACTTTTTAAGACCTCGTGACAGATGGAATTTTCCTCCTTTGTCCTGCGTACTTTCCCTCTCTGTCTCCTTCCTTGTTCTTCTGAAGTTTCCACTATAGGAGGGAAGTTGTTTTCTTCCTCTGGCATCATGGTTGTGTCTTTGAAGCATGAGCTTAGTCAGCAATTACTCAAGGAGCTTAGATCAGTTCTGGTCACTCTTCCACTTTCAGCAGTTTTACACCTATTCTTGGTCCATACCTCACAGTCTTTATGTAAACCTTGATGCGCTGAATAACATTTTTGGTCTCAAGAGCTGTTTAGATGAAGGTGTGAGACTATTCTGACACAAATCCTACTCTCAGTATTGAAAGAGAGCTTGTTGATACATACTGTAGTCCTCAATTTATTTCCAAGGGGAGAGTTGTTGCTAGACAATGTAATAAGTTATCTGGTTTCAACTTTTAAAATCTTGACCCACTAAGAGCTAAAGAAATACCTTTAATAACATTTTCTGATATTGGCTGATTTTACATTTGGCTATGGATTTGCATGGAAAGTAAAGGCCTGCAGATGTTTTGAAAGTGCTGTAATATGGATGAGGTCCTTTCCCATCAAAAAAAAGTTTCCTATTAAAGTTTTTCTACTAAGAATCAGCTAAGGTCTGAATCAAAGGGAAAAAAACACATTTCAGTGTTCCTGATTAAAGGTTTTCAGGAGGTTTATATTATCATCAAACTAGGCTGAGTGGACTGTGTAGGACGTTTCTGGAGATTTAAATGAAAGAGTTCATTCTGCAGGCTGGATATTAAACACGTGAGGAGCTCACTAGATCACACATGTTCACACATTTTCCTCAGATATGTGCACCGAAAGCCCTCAAGGGCACAATAATAACCTCCACTTTAATGTGGTTCCCTGTTGTTGAAATCTCCTGCAGATTGAACTTTTGCTGGAGGATTAACAGGTTGGAAAGGGATGTGAAATCCAAGTCTTTGCCATTTCTATCCACAACAGCCATAGCTGCATAGTTTCACTGGGTGGAGACACAGCAGGTTAAATTTAGAGCTTCATACAATGTACGGTAACTTGCAAATGTATTTGACCCGAGTTATAAATTGAGTTAAATCAAAGCCAGACAGGGGCAGTTTGGAGCATGACTTAAAAGCAGGATTGGGTACATTTGAGCTAAAACTATGTTAGATGCCTCTGGCCATATCCACTGAAAATGCTTTGAAGTAATAATGTAATAACATGAAATATTATTATAAACATATTGGTGTGTGAGCTTAAAATGTAAACAGGATCAGTAAATTCAGGCATACAAATCTGTACCTTACTCTTCTTTCAGAATGTTGACAATTTTTTTCCTCACATTGTCTTTCATACTGTGTCTCTTAAAATCATGTCATTATCATTATCACCATGCCTCTCTATTCTTCTTTCTTCCTCCTCTTTAACTACAAGTGGTAATACACTGAAATGACTGGTGAGGTATGTAGACAGACATGGCACTGATCCTCGTTAGGTGCAGGTAATTATCTAAACATAGCAGCTTAGTTAGCCTTAAAGGACTTCATAAAAACAAGCTGTTTCTATAGGTGGAGCATTCTCTTCAAAGTGCAGTATATAAATGAGAACATATTTGGCATCCTGTTTGACACTGTCCTGCACTATTAAGTTACTAAACTGCTCCTTGTCATGCTACTCTGCTCCCGACAGCAGTTGTTGTCAGCTTTGCTAAAAAACTGCTGCAGGCAGCTCTTATGACCTAATTTCCATCCATCTCATCTAATGGAGACTACAAGTTGTATCATTATAGAAATGAAATTATTAACTTGTCAGAAACAGTGTTTACGCTGTGTCCACTGCGTGACCATAGAAACGTGATGCCATGATTAGATGCCTTCATATTAAAACCATATGGCTCCATTCCTAGACACTTTCATCCCTGACCCTGTGTGAACCCTGGGATCTCAAACACACAATGAACAAGTTAATGCTATTAAGGATGAAAAGATCGCACAGCTTCTTTGGGATTGTACTTACTTTTAGAAATAGCCACTGAAAAACCATCTGTAACCAATGTGCAGTCAACAGTGGATTTCTCTGTGCCTGTCATTAAGTGTAATGGCTCCTAGATAATTTGTTTAACCCCTACTGCAACAGTTCCTTCATGTACTTGGTAATGAGATTTTACTGTGTGCTGCAGAGAGGGGGTCCATTCTTTTTGATCAACCATAGCGACCGTGGGACCAACTGAGAAGCTTCTATAATACAGCCCAGAATGAGCATGATTTGAGGGTCATGAGAAAATGTTTTCCTTTAAGAAAATGTCATGATGGAGAAATTAGCTAAATACATACTAAAGACACACATGAGAGAATTAATCATTAGTTTTAAGAAGAACTTGCTGTTTTATTTAGCCATCCATCCATTTTACTGTACGACTTATCCTGAAGAGGGTCGCGGAGGGCTGGGGCCAATCACAGCTAACACTGGGAGAGAAGCTGGGTACATGCCGGACAGGTCACCTGTTTATTACAGGGATGACACTTAGCAAACCCAGAACCTTGTTGCTGCCAACAGTGCTAACCACTGTACTAATAGGCAACCTGTTTAATTTTATTTATTTATACATTTACTTATGTACTTACTTTCTTACTTACCTGGCCTGTACCACTTATCCTTTTATCAATGCCCAGTAAAAACCATGTATGTCCAATTTTGGTGATTTAAAATGTTTCTGAAAAACTGAAGGTAAGTATAGTATCAGCTTCAGACCACATTCTCTACCTTGCACAAGCTAGGGCACAAAATGAAAGCAGCATCTAATCCTACAAATCATCTAACTGGGATGCTGTGAACTACAACACATGGTAGGCTCAACTATCTATCGAAATAGTGAGACACTCATCAAAACTGTATACTTCTTCTATGTTAAAATGCAAAATCTGCAATGACAGAGCCTACAGATGCAGTCTTTCTGAAACTAAACTACATTACAATGACAACAAAGCATTGAGTTTCACATAATAAACTATTTTGGAGGAACAATAGAGAGGTGGTGAAAAATGAAAGCAAAGCGGGTGATAGTTCTTCTGTGGTGTAAATCCTGCTGTTATAGGAAATGGCCAGGGCTATTTGATTCCCATGTTCTGAGTCATTTGATTTGTATTTTCTGTTAGTTCTTCCATACAACTTGGAGTCTCAGTGGGCAAAGAACAACAAATGAATTAAGTCCAGTTTAGCATTCAGCTGAAATATAACACACTCCTGAGATCATTATAAAATAACAACCGTTCTTTACAAAAGCAGCTTGAGCACTTGCTCAAGCATCACTGGCTACTTTACTGTTGTTACTGTGAAGTCTTCAAGCTTGAAACACGTTTGCATTCAGGGAATGAAAAAAATACTTTCCCCTGCATTTCATTTGCAGAAAAAATATAATGCTACTTTCAGAGTTATACTGTTTGTGTGTTGATTTCCAAAGGTTCTTTTTGGAGAGGAACTATATCCCCAGTCACAATCCTCCAAAATCTTTAACCCTTGCTTTTACTCTTTGGTTTTTGTATGGATGAACAATAGAATTATAGCATGTTGATGAGCTTTAGAAGTGCATGCGTGTTGATTTCGCTTGCTTTGTACATAGTGAGACTAGCTGTTTTGACCGTTATCCTGTCCTAAGGCTAAAGTAATCTAATGGTCTTCTGCCTGTAGCCAAGGAGCCTAGTTTACCAAAAGTACCAAATTATTCCTTCAATCATACAATAATTACGGACAGAATTGTTAAACACATACTGCTTTCTGAGAATAAACTCACCTACTGTTTCCAAGCTTAGCTAGGTGTGACCTCAACATATTTTAGACATGAACACACATTTAGTAAAGTAGACATAAGTAGCACATCAATGCTCTTTAAAGTGTGTCAGAAGTATTGTGTAGAACATGATGTGCTTGCCCTTGCATGTGAGTCTGTGTGTGTGTGTGTGTGTGTGTGCGTGTGTGTGTGCGTGCCTGTGTGTGACACTCCAATCACTTAAGGATAAAACACTGGAGCCCACACTCATTCATGAGCTGTGATGTCACCCTGTGAGCCGAGAGAGGGGAATATTTTGGGACCCACTGCATGTGGAACTCCCTGCTAGGCTGGGCTGTAACCTGAAGCGAGAAGTGAGAGAGGGAGAATCTGAGAAAGAAAGACAGTAAGAGAGAGAGGGAGAGAGAGGGGAAAATGGAGGGAGGGGGAGGGAAGGACTGAAGGGCCAAAGGAAGGTGATGTCAGCTGAGTTCAGAAAGTAAACAGAGTTCCAGACTGCAGCATGCTGTCTGCTGGATGGGAACTGCAGCTGGGGCAAACCCTCAGCGGCACCCGCACAACCCCCTGGACCGGTACTTTTATCTCTGGGAAGGAGGGCTGGTTCCTCTTCATCTCCCTCTTGATATGCATCTCCTTACCCCAAGGGACATCTTGGCCCTACGGTAAGAGACCGGCAGGCTTTACCTTTACTGCTCTTCTTTTTCTTCCTCATCCCCACTCTGTGTTTGACACAGCCTCTTGGTTTATGTTCTTTGTTCTCGAAAAGCCGGCATCAGCACTCTCTCCATCCACTCCTTTGTCCTATCCTTTGAGAGCACAACATCACTGCCAACAGAGTCAGGCAGTGATGTAAAAACAGCAAAGAAAAGCAGCACCGACAAGTTTGTGGCATTTCTGTGTTTACAACTTGTAAATACAAAGTGAGGGATCATCCTGTGTGGGTTTGAGTTGATTGTTATTGTTATTTTCTTTCTTCTCATTGCAGTGAAACTGTGTAAAATCAAAAGGGGGCTGTTTTTCTCTCTTTAAAACAACATCAACAACAACAGCAGACGTTGAGTTAAAGGGAGGCTGCTGGAGTCCTAATAGGGCTATAGAATCTTGGCACTGAATCCCTTTTGTGCAACAGTGTTGCGGATGAGTTCTCGCAGAGATCGGGGTCAGCTCTGCCTGTTTACTCTGAGTGACCACTTGAACTGCAGCAGGAAGACATGAGTCATGTTTGAGTCAATCACACCGGCTGTTGTAATGTGTATACCATACACCGTCTCCAAGGCTCCTAACCAAACCCCTGTCTGATTTCCCCTTGCACGGTTACCACAGTGCACAAATAATACCTTCACTTTGTAACACAAACAGCTGTGTTAAGTTCCAGTGATTAGAAGAATTCCTTCTGGCAAATTTACCTAGTTAAGTTGTTGTCAGCTGAGTCACTTTCAGCATGACCTGTTTCGTAATCAGCTGATGATACACGTTCTCTGTTGAGCAACCCAAAATGCTTTGCTTTTAAGCAAAGATGTTTACAGGCAAATCCTGACTTTGTGAAAATATTTGTGTGCGTGTGGACCAGTTTGAATTTTATATGGGAGTGATGACATTTTGGGAGTGTGAGGATATTTTGGTCCAGATAAGAAGGTTAGAGCCAAAGTTTGGTTGGGGTTAGAATTAGTTAAGGGTTGTAGTTAGGCAGTTGTGAAAGTTAAGGTTAGGTTAAGGGGCTAGGCAATGCATTATGTCATTGAGTATCTTAGTAGCTGTACAAATGTATGCTTGTGTGTATGTTCTGTATTTTTATGTCAATTTCTGCATATTTTGGTGATCTACAGTATGTGAGGCCTTCTGTTCAGGATCTCCCACCTAGCATGAATTCTGAAATGTGTGGTTCTTCTGACACCAGTTTGCCTCTGGCTAGTGGGTAGTACTGTAGGAAACCAATATCAAGGCTAGCAGACGGAAAAGCTAAATGAGAGTGAGACAGTGGCATAGAGAATAGTTACAAGAAGAAAAACGTGGCCTCTGATTGAACATTTGAAGCAACAGTATGTCATATGAGACTCAAGAGTTCATTCCAGGTTTAGGAGCTAAATGCTAAAAACAAATGTATCCCTGGTTTGAACTACATGCTGATGTGTGTACACACCATTTCACTAAAGTGGATAATAAAATAACAAACCATTGCTTTGGGTTTGTGGTTTTCTAGCAGAGGGAAGTTTATTTAAAACAATCTACAGGAAGACCACTGGAATCAGCACTTGGAATCGGGCTACATTCAGATGTGCAGTGCCCTGGGAGCTTCTCTCTTCCATGATAGCTCAGCCACTCTAGCCTCAAAATACCAGACAACTGCTGTGGGCTGTAGGCGGCAGGAATTAAACTCACACATAGATGCACACATGTGCACTCATGGTTGCAGTAAAAGCAGTTGTTAAATCACTGCGAAATAATTAGCATTTTGTCAGGAGGATATAGTGGACATAGAGTGTCATTTTCTTCACTTGGAACATTTTCTGACATGGTTTCTCATGTAATTATGGCAGAGAACCAGAATAACTTAATGATACTGTGGCAAGGACTGTGCAAAGTTGTATGGTCACATTTGAATGTATGTTCCTGTGTTGCTAGAAGCCTCTAGGGGTAACTGGGAAAATACGTTTTATACAATTTGGGTGAACTGAAAGTGAAAGAAGTAGCTCAACATTTTTAGAAAATCTGAATATTAGCGAGAGTCAGATGTGAATATGCCCAGGGATTTGTTGAGAGTGGTGTTCCACTGTCAAATTACAGATTACAGCTGCATTTCTGATAACACTTGAATATCAAATTAGAGCAAAAATCTGTCTGAAACTCTGAATTTATTGTAAACATGATGCAAAATCACTACAACTACAAAAGGAGATGCTAACCCTGGGATTTATTCTTAGCTGAGTTCACAGCTTTGGAGTTGCTGCAGGCTTAGGAGTCACTTGCAAGGTCAGATTCATCCTCTGCACCATATTTTAAATTCAGTGCAGTCCTAGTTTTTCAGAGCTTCTGAAACTGTTTATATTAAAATACAGTAAATGTGCAAAACTGTACAATAATCTGGACATTTTAAAGTTTGTCTTTAGCAGAAGTCAACGTTTGCTGTAGCTCTTCTACATGTTTGTGGAACAGTGACCACTTCTTCATCCTAATTAATTATGTCAGACTCTGAACCCACATTTAACGTGTGCAGATGAGACCTGCTGGCTAACAACTAGGTCCTGTGGAGCTTCTGATTGGATGGAAATGCTTTGTGACACAAAGAGGTCTCCACCAGGCAACAGCCTCTGTTATGATGCCTGCTGCGTCACTGCTGTTTTCATTTCTATGGCTTTTTGACATGCATGTTGAGGAGTACATTTTGGAGCTCAACATCCGGCATGGAAAAACAGATACCGCTTACATAAGACAATAAAAGCCAAACAACCCACATACTGTAGACATCTACATGCTTAGCTGAAAAGCCGAGAGGAAAAAAACTTTGTGCTCTGTTGTTAAATTGTGTTTCTATGGCTCAGTGCCAGCATCTTGTCACACACTGTCCTAGTTAAAGTATGTTGCACTGGGGAAATATGTAGACACCGAGATACACAACAAAACAGATACATGCTGGTTAGCTGGAAAGGGTGCTAGACAGTCATTGGGGCTAAATAGAGAAACAAACATTGTTATCAGATGGATGAATTTCTTCCTGCTTACAGAACCTTTCAGACAACATTTCCAGTTTGTGCTTAAAAGAACACATTAGCCTGAGGCACTCAGCGCAGCCACAGACCTGGCTTGAGTTACAGGTCTGGGGAAGAGGACATTATGATAATAAAATGTATGTTGATGCCATTTTTTCCCTCACATTTAAATACAATTTCATTATGTCTGAGCTTGCATCCTTACAAAAAAAAAAAAACTTACCACTGAAATGAATCTGTTCAAATCACTGTGGCACAAGTCAAAGCACAGTTATGTAAAAATCATCTTCAGTGTTGTAAATGTATAAACACACTAAGGAGAGGGGATAGCGGTCCAGAAAAACAAAGATGCATTCCAGCATTCTTCCAGCACTGGGGGAGATACCTCAAAGTCATGCTTCAGAGAAAAACATAACAGTCTTATCAGCAGAACTGGAGGTCAACAAACTGAGTCTGCTCACAGTGTACAGCTTGTGAAAATCTGAAAATCCATCCTAGAATAAATGCATGTCAGTGCCTGTCTGAGGTGAGACCGAAGACAGGTTTACAGCACTTGTCATTTGGTTCTAACTCAGGGCATGGCTTGTACTGTGGGGCACTACAGGATGTCACTTCTCAGTCAAAGGACAAGCCACACAGCAACAATCCATGTAATGACATTACCAGCTCATAAAATCTTTTGATGCCTTTCGTGTTTAAGGTTTCACAGTCTCTCCAGCCAGTGGTCTTCACAAACCTCAGTGAGGAAGCAGAGAAGCTGTCCCTTACAGAGGAGAGATGGTGTCAGCACATCTTAATCCCCATGTGGAAGGTAGCACTCCCTTTGCAGGGTAATTAATGGCAGTAGTTTACAGACTAAAGAGTAAAACTGGCTAGTAACACAATCAACAACGCTTTAAAAGGATCTCCTGTTTGAAAATCCACAGAATTTGGGTCCTATTTCAATCATAACAAAAGTCATAGTTGTTGAAATGTAGTTGCTTCTACTCCTGGAATCTCTGACTAAAGTGTTGGTGGTCACGCTGCACTGTGAGTAATGTGGGAAACAGGTCTGAACAATGAAGAAGAATGCATGAAACAAAAAAAAAAAAAAAATGATAAAACAGAGGAGCACTTTTTTGAATCCATTGATGTGTCTTTTAATTTGATTTTACTGAAATATGTTAAGGAAAATAAATATATATAATATATATATAGTAACTGACTTTTACTTGCCTTGCATGAAAAATAAACAATTCCACTGTCATAATGAGCATTTGTAATTTTTCACAGTAGCGTGCATAATCCCACTCACTGCATTGTCTTCTTGTTTCAACAGACATCTCTCTAAACATGCACACCATGCTTATGTCATGGATTTTTGTGGTTCTCACATATGGTCAAAATAAATCCACAACAGTAACAATGTGGAGAAAAACTAGGAGCTTCTCTTTTTTCTTTCAGGTGACAGAATAGACCAAACAAGAAAAGATAATGCAAGAACATTAGCTTTGATTCAAAAACAAAAGTGTGAGGCTGTGGGTTTGCCTTCATTTTTAACTGTCAGAATCTGTGGCTCGTGTGACAACATGGGTGTTGTATGTGGGACTGAAGTAAAGTATATAGACAAAAGTATTGGGATGACTAGAAAAGGGCCTTCCCCAAACTATTTCTACAAAGTCAGAAACATAGTGTTGTCCAAAATGTCTCGGTATGCTGAAGCATTAAGACTGGCCTTCAATGGAAGTAAGGGGTCTGGCCCAAACCCTGAAAAACAGCCCCATACCATTGTCTCTCCTCCACCAAACTTCACAGTGGGCACAATGCAGTCAGGCAGCTAATGTTCTCCCAGTATTCGCCAAAGCCACACTCGCCCATGTGACTGCGAAACAAAGAAGCGTGATTTGTCGCTCCACAGAACACGTTTCCACTGCTCCGCAGTCCAGTGGCAGTGGGCTTTACACCACCTCATCTGATGCTTGGCATTAGACTTGGTGATGTGACGCTTGTATGCAGCTGCTTAGCCATGGAAACCTACCGCACAGTGTTTGTGCTTACATTAATATGTGTCCCAATAGTTTTGCCCAAATAGTGTATATGGCTGCCAAGCTCCACAACATTTGAGTGACAGTAAATCAGTCCTGCATGTTATTGCACTGAGGGAGCAGACTGACTCTATGTTATGTTGTCACAGACTTGCTGAATATGGTTTAAATTTAACACACAAGTTCACTTGAACCCACGTTATCACAACAATAAATGACCCAAGGCAGAGGCAGAAATCAAAACAACCAAACCACTGCAACAGCTTCATGAAGCACACTGCCCTCAAGAAACCCACAATAAAGTTAACCTAGTGGCATTGCACAACCTGCTTTCTGTTTCTGTCTTCTAGGAAAAATAGCTGATTGTAGCATGGCTGAGATACAAGTTATGATACCAGTAATGTGGAAGGGCAACAGCAGCATTCCAAAACATCTGTGTTTCTCCTGTCTGGTTGACTGTCTGCATGCAACCACCAAGAGACTGATCACTTGCTCTTGTTGCTTTTGTGTGTCAGTGCATTAGTGTCTGTCTTTGTCTTGGACTCTCAGTTTCACAGAACTTCCATAAATGATGAATAAGCCTGGCTTACAACTGTGGCTTTGCCAATAAAACCGACATACGAGCGTGTCTTTGTGTTTTTCAGTGGGAAGTTAACAGCAAGAATAAATGTTGGGAGTGTAGGGTTGAGGGCAGAGAAGTTATTATGAGTGCATAGTTGGAGAGAGGGTACATACAAACTGCTGCACAGACACAGCACCAAGTTTAAAGTGCAGCTTCTGTTAGTTATCTGTGCACATCTGCCACAAGAGAATTTCCACTTCCCTGTTTCAGCTTTTAAATCTGTTACCTAATAGTAACCACACGAGCGCAAAGGTCCATGAATCACCGATGTCCTGTCAAATTAAACATTGCATTTATGGGGTAAAAACCTTAACCTTATTAAGATCAGTGTTTACACCAGGTTCCATAAAGCACTTTCTGATTACTGAGTTTATTTTGCTTTCCTTGACAATGACTTTACAATTGTGCCATGCTGTCTAATATAATATATTACAAGAATGCACAGAGGAGGTAAACCACTGAGATACTTGCAGTCCTCTACAAAAAGAGCATGCAATTGTATGGCAGTGGATATAGGCACAGAACACAGTGAAGAACAGCAGCTTGGATAAACACTGAACTCACCAGAATCCTTCCACTGCTGCTCAGGCTGATTGCTCACATTTTTCCACAAGGCCAAATATCACATTTGACATATTTTTTTTTTGTTTGACTCATCTCACTTATTAAGTACAAAATAAACAAAAGTTTCTTGCCTTCTTAAGTGACATTGCTGATTTGCTTACCCGGTTTCTTGCCTTCTTATTTAAGTGACATTGCTGATTTGCTTACCCTGACTTACTGTGTTATTTAGATTACAGGTATTTGTACAATCACTGCCCCGGCCCTGAGTGGAACGTCATGTGTAGAGGGTGCTGTGAGTATGACGTAATCCGTTGTAAATGCCCACTCCAGGGGACTCCGGTGGGCTATGCTGTGCCCTGCTGTCGCAACGCCATCAATGACTGTGACCCCTGCATCATCCATCCAGGTACACTGTAAATGGTAACACTGGATTTAATTAAAAATAAGCAGGGGACTTAACAGTTTTTTAAGCCTGATATCAATACTCATCTTAAAAAGATTACTTGTAATTTAGGGCCAGAAAAGCTGACCAACTCAATGGTAAATTTTTTAGGGGTGGCAGACTTCCCAGAATGCATTGTTTGAGTGTTAATACTCTCCAGAGACTCTTCTTTTTTTTTTTTTTTTGAAGAGCCAAATCATGGTGGAAACTTTCTCTGTGTCTATTAAGTTTTTTTCTTTTTCTTTTCACAAGTGTAAACGCTGTGCAAACTATGATAAAGGTTAGTCTGAATTTGGTCCCTACTTTCACACACTTGGAATTCAACAAAGTTGTTGGGAGCAGATTTGCATACTATTTGTACTGCCTTTGGTGCAAAGTGCCTTCAACAGCTGTGACCTCTTCATGTCAAATTAAGAACAGATTCTTCAAACAAAAAAAAATGTAAAAGGAAAGTAAACCTCTACAGTGACTCTCTGTGTGACATATGTAAGTTCAGTTGACTTAATATCTTTAAGTTTTTAACTTGTTTATAAGTTCAATTAATTTAGTTTTACATTTTTCAAGTGTTACATTTTACACAACATGACACAGTTAAGTCTGTTTACTTAATTTTCTCAAGGTAATCTGTTTCCTCATTTTTAAGTACGCTTCACTTGTTAGAACTTACAATGTATAAACTTTGAACATGGACACAAGTACTCCTATTTAATGCAATCTAGCCAAAAACACCACAAAAAGTTGTCAAATTTGAGCTCTATCTTTATGACATAGGCATCTGTTATTTCAGCCTATGAGGAGCTGGTCTATTTTGAATATCTGTTAGTTTGTGCGAGACCAATTGCTGTCAATCAGTCGCACAGCTGTTAGTGTTTTGGTATGACAAACGGAAAAAGAGTGTCAAGTTTAATTTGTTGCCAGGGCAGTTTCACACAGGGCCTCTCTCTTGACTCATGGGCAGAATGCTTTAGATATCTGTGTAAGAAGCCCAGACATGTACAGTGCATATGTGAAAATACACTCACATGGGAATGTCTGCACACATGTGCTGTAGCTCACTCACTCAGAGGAATTTCACATTTTCTTCACAGCTTAAATGGACACTTTTTTAAAATAGGTACCACATTTTCACTGTTAAAAACTAAATATAATATTACCAGGCTATAATAATTATACGCCAGCCACTGTGGACGAAAGTATATCCCCAACCCATTTGTTGTTTAAATTCGTGCCTGCGTTCAGGTCAGATTTTGCTCTGTACCTCCACACGGACAGAGCAGAATTGTAAGTGAAAATGCATCCATCGCCGGAAACCATTTTACATTTCTATTTTAGGAAGCAGCAATATGTGCATTTAGTTTGAGTGAAAGATGAGCTCAATGAGTTTAGCAGAGTCGATGGGCTCAAGCTGTTCATTCAAACATCTTCCTACTGTATATAAGCTGACTCCTTTTTTACTGCATATATTTATTTATTATCGAGGTTCACTGCAATTTTCTCCCTATCTTTGTTTCAGGTTGCAGTATATTTGAGAACTGTAAGAGCTGTAACAATGGGACATGGGGCCCCAGGGATGACTTCTTCATAAAGGGCAAATATTGTGCTGAGTGTCGACCTGGCTGGTCTGGTGGAGACTGCATGAGTACGTCTCTTCATTCTCCTAATTAGCACATCCAGCATGGCTTTGCTATAAGTATTTTTCTCTATAAGGGCACTGAATGCCATATCTTTCCTTTTCTGCCGGCTTATCTTCTGTGCCAGCTTGGAAGGCTGCGACATGCCCAGGAGGCTTTCCATGGAGAGCTGAACGACAAGGCAAAGTTAACAGTCATGGATCCAATAACATGATTTAATACGTAGCATTTGGACACTGACTACAGCTTTCTCAGTATGCAAATATCCTGCCAAGGAGCACAAGAAGTATACAGTACATTTAATTAAATGCATAAACCTGGCAAGGCTGCTGAATGGCTTTATTGCCCCTCTGTGCATGGTGTTTATGCTTCTTTATGTTGTTGAGCACAAGTGGCTTTCAAAATGTAATTAATTGTGGTTTGAATGGTAACCAAGCAGATGAGTCTAGACTCTAAAAATAATAATTAAATTATAATTAAAAAGCTGTGAGTTTTAAATAGCACCCCAGTTTCTACACAGTTTCCAACATGGAGTTCCTGTGTGTTTCAGAGTGTGGGGGAGTGATCCATAAACAACAGGGCCATTTGTTGCTGGAAGGTTACCCCAACAATGCTCGTTGTGAGTGGACCATACAGGTGGACCGCCCCTTCACCATAGAAATCAGGTAAGAGCATAAACAGTCTGCTTCTGGTCCTCATTTCCAAAGTCTGTCCAATTTTAGTTAAGTTAAGATCAGTTAAGTCAGCAATGTTAGAATTATATCAGTTCTTAGGTACTTAGGCACTGAGTCTTCTTTGGACATAGAGCCCCAGAGCCTTGACATTTGCCTTTTATAAAAGTGGGCTGATTTTGTTATGGCTTTAACATGACTCCAAAAGTTAAGATCAGTGTCTTTTTGGACACCAAGTTTTTTGACCAGAGATGTTGTTTTGATAGATCTGGATTCAAGCTGAGCAATAGTTTTCATTCTTTTGTTTTTGTTACCAAAAGTGATGACCTCTGCCTTATCTTTAACTGGAGATACTGTAGTTTATTTTCAACCAGGTAATTACAGTATTTGCTCTAAGCAGTAGTTTTTTTAGTATTTCACCATAAACCAAAATACTGGACATATTAAATATGGGTATGGTGAATGTCTGTAGAGGATTTTATGGGGTTCATCCGGTAGCTGTTGAGATTTTTCACTCTTGACCAACATGATGGACCAACTGACTCCTACCATGGATAAAGCTTTTATTAAAAGATCCAATAGCAAGATGTCTTTTCAGTAACTGACCTAGTTATTTTGAATAACTCACTTCTGCTGTCATCAGTTTCCATTCGAAATACTTTCAACTGAAGAATCCATTTAAAACCATTATGTTAACAAACTGTACCAGCCAACAGGTGAACAAATAACAGCTGACAACATGACTATACTGACCACAGCGTTACCTATTGGAAACTGACAAATTTATTTACTAATGTGTCAGTGAAATCTGGGGTGCCACAGTGTCATCTGGCATTAAAGCCCCAGTTTTTGGGATCATTGTTGCCCATCTGTTAAAGTTATTCGTGGCTGGCCTGTTTAAGTCAGTTTTCCACACAGTTCAAATATTTCTGCAAGATCTAAGTCATGGACTCTAGAGTGTACATCAGAATTTGGAAACCACAACACTCTTATTTTTCAGTGATAACTTTCTCTTTCTGTCATTTTCTCCATTACATGTGTAACATTTGACATACAAGCACTCAGTAGGGTTTTAACAGAACAAAAGCACCATGGACTTGGGCTGAGCATGCGGTGCATATGGTAATGCTCTGTTTTAATCTAACAACCATGAACTGTGCCATACATAGATTGCAAGGTCAAATCCATTCTGAAGACAAATGTAAATCTAGGCTTTACTATTTAAATGTCATATTTTAATATGCTTAGTGTGTGGCATATAGCAAATCCAACAAAACCCTGAATGAAATAGCATAGTTGTGCTCAGAGGTAGACTAATGGAAAATTACATGTTTGTGCCTGGGCCACTGGGGAATTAGGACCAGGGTTTTCCTGTATTTCTCAGTACACTCACATCACGAGGAACATATTTACTTTATTATACCTGGCATTAATTGTTGGGAGCTGCTACAGGCTAACGTACCATTACTGTATATCTCATCAGTCTGACTTTTCCTGCCCCAAGGGTTTGTGTTAAAGGATGCTATTAGATGATTTGTGGACACGCTAGTATTTATCAGTCCTTTATATCTGTTTCAGTGCAAGGCCAAGGAGATCAAATACTGTATGTAATCAAATACAATTGGAGAGGAGACTCCTCTGCATTTGGTCCTAATCCAACTGGGTGTCATCTCACAGCACAGTCTAACTGCAGCTAAAACATGCTCGTGAATTGTTACTACAGTCACTTGGAATCATATTTAAATAGGCCCCACAGCCACTCCTTCTGGAGGTCCTGACTGTATTAAAGTGCACTAATGTCTGTATCTACATGGTGTTAGTAAGGTCATTGTCATATATTTACAGTAGTTCATTTTCCTGTACATTACTTCCAAAACAAGTAGTACAGCTGGTAATTAATGGTATAAAATTTTAAGGTGTGTCAACATCCCTAAGTCATTATTACTGTCAGGTATTTAATGGACAAATTATGAATGTTAATGACTTACACTAAAATTCTACAGTTAGTTTCAGTCACATCTCTATTACATCCATTATAGGTGTCATGGTGAAAATCATTAAAAGCAAAAATAATTTCCAATGTTGGATAGTTTCATTTTATGGCAGCGTATTTCATGTCTTTTTTTAAATTATTATTATTCATCTTGATACAAACAGGTTCATGATGCTGAGTCTGGAGTTTCACCACTCTTGTCGTTATGATTATGTGGAGGTCCGAGATGGTGACAGCATCAGCTCAGGTGTTATCGGCCGATTTTGTGGAAACAACAGACCTGCTCCGATTCAGAGCTCTGGCAACAGTTTGCACGTACTCTTTGTGTCTGATGGTTACAAGAATTTTGATGGATTCTTTGCCACTTTCCAGGAAGTCTCTGGTAGGTCAACTACACTGTAACGATATTGATTAACAGCAACCACGAGACTGTTACAAATAATAATAAATTGTTTTACTTGTAGGACCCTCAGTGACATGCATTTGCTACCGTAAATCCTAACCCCTTACCCTAACCACAGCCCAGGAGAACTTAAACCTAAAGTTAAGTCTTAATTCCATAACAGTGAGAAAGAACTGGAGTGTGCCCTTGTTATGTAGACAATAAATAAAAAGTCATTTGTAAAGTCACACTCAATGAACACAGGGGCTCTTTAAAGTCACAGGACATAACAAATGCAAACAAGAAGAAATCTCCAAGGCCCTCAGAATTCAGTGCATAATAAAAAGCCTTTAATGATGCATGCCTGACACCCAGGCGCTTCAACAAGAGCCTGCTAGCACAAAGTTGAGAAACTGAAGACTTACCAAAATGTTCTGGCTTTCCAGAAAGTACAAAAGCAGATACTTACACACATATGCATGTATTTTAACTATGGCACAGCCAGTTCTGGTAAAACTAAACAGAAGCTTTCTGTGTAGGATTTAGAAATGGGAAGTGAAAAAGACATTTAAATGGCATCTGCTTTGATATAATTTGGTGTAGACAGCCATTTCTTATGGGATATTGTAACATTATACTCCTAATAAACACAACATTTGTTTTCGTATTCTAACACCATACACCTGTATGTTTACAGCCTGTAGCTCCTCTCCATGCCTTCATGATGGGACTTGTGTCCTGGAAAGTTCTTACACTTACCGCTGTGCCTGTCTGGCTGGTTACACGGGCAGGAGGTGTGAAAATGGTGAGTGTAACATAACTGTAAAATGCAGTTTTTCTGGAAAAAAAAAAAAAGTGGACATGAAAATAGGAAAGAATAAACATTGCAGTACACTGTAGGCACAATAAAAACAAATTAAATTATTTATGTTTTTCATTTGAAAGCATTTTCACAGTTGTTGCTGCTCAGAGGCAGGCAATGATTCACTGTCACAAGAGAGGTGTTTATAGTTGTGGATGGGATTCAGGCCAGTTGGCATCTCTGTCTGTGGGCAGTCCTATCATTTTCAAGAAATAGCAAATAAAGTTTCAGAGATGATAGAAAGTAAGCAGCACAGAATCAAAAATTGCCTTGAACTCATACTGTAGACAGATAAAGTGAGAGGGAAAGTGGAAAGAAGTTAAATGGGGAAAAATGCATTATCCTAAAAAAATTTAAATAAATGGGGGGTGTTACTGCCCCCTCAGGGTGTGGTTAAAGTCATTTTGTCCTACAGTGTCATTTTTACAGGTGTCTAGACTCTAACCTGTGCTTTTTTATCTGTTCACCTCCTTTAAGATCTAGCAAAACACAAAAGTCCTGAACCCTACTCACGTTTCTATTGTAGTATTGATTTTGTGTCTAAATGTGAGTCTGTGAAACTAATGGTGAAACAATTCAGCTTCTATAACATGAGCCAGCTTTTCCATGTGAAGAGATGCCCACAAACAGACAGGCGCTTCATTCCAATCAGTGTGCATTCTTCTGTATTCCTACGAGGAATCCCCATTTGTTAATTTTGATGAAAGAGAGCTGGAATAATACTAATCTCTTACTTTTTGTGGAGGAAATGTAGTCTACTTTTCTGCCCTGGAGTTGTATGGCAGATTTTAAGTATGAACCTGTCATCAGATGTATTTTGTGTTCTCTTTAATCAAGCCATCATCCATTTTAAGGCTGAGCTAAAACGCTTTCTGTTTGACAGAATCTGACACATATAACTGACAATGACCTTCTCCCTTTTCTCTCTCATTGGCTCAGTTTAATCTGTGCTTGTGTTTAATTTGTTTTAGCTGGTAGTGTTAATCATACATAGCTTTAAAGGCTTTACTAAAGGACTGACATTGCTCCAGGCCTTTCTCATCATGTCCTTGGACAGAATCTGATGGGTCATTTAGCAAGTCACAATAATGCTCAAAACATATATTTAAAGGTCAACTACAGTTTGCATTTCCACCTTAGGTTGGCTAACAGCATTCTTCATCTTCTAAAGGACTGAAAGTTGGAAATGCTGTAAGACAAAAAAACACCCAGACTAAAAGGAGGATTCTTTGGTTTGGAGCTATAAAACCTCAGACAGTGCATTTCATGCCCAGTTTAAAGTCAACAGCACAGAAATCCTCTTGAGGTATGATCTCACCGAGATTGCTGTACTGGTATGATAAGTGATGATAACATGTGGGTTTGAGTTTTTGTGAACTTATTTATGGGTCATGTAGGCCTCTGCTGCAAGACATTTGTGTGGATACTTTAAATATATGGAAACAGCACATTACACCACACAAAGAAAATTACACAATAACCTCCACATTTATGACATGGATAGATTGACTTTTCAATGTAATGTCATGTAACAGAGTTAGACACAGTATTACTACTGTATTTCTTTCATATTTACTAGGCATGTGTCTTGCCGTGGACTGTTTACTCTACCATGATGGGTGAAATTATTTATTAATGAGCCCCTAAATTTTACAGCTCTGGGCATTTTTAAATTAAAAGTAATGGGTCTGAGAGGTACGATTTTAAGGTTCATGGGCTAGCTGTCTGACCTGAAAATATCAGAAGTCAAAAAACTTATTGGAGGTCTATTTGTGTGGTTTTCTGCACAAGGGAGATGCAATAAAATGATGTTAAATAAACTCTAAAGATGCCTCTTAAATCCTTTGTGCATCTTAATTTAGATGATCTGGCAACCAGCTAAGGAAAAGGAAGATAAGAGCACATTTGTTCATAAATACTGTAAATAAACTATGCATGTCTGTATTTCCACTCAGTGGTGGGATGCCGCAGGCCTCCGGTGCCCACCCATGGATCTACAGAGGGTCTATTTTACCACTCAGGGGCTCGCATTACTTTCCGTTGTAACCCTGGGTTTCAACTGCAGGGGATCCGTACTGCCATCTGCCTGAGTGATGGCACCTGGAGCGCACCTGCCCCAGAGTGTGGTAAGACAATGATGTGAATTGTGTTTTCTGTGAAAGAATTATAATTTTGAAAAGTTCCATGTAGGTAATTAGCTTGTCTGTGTCATACGTGCTGCTCCGGCGATGGTGCAGATTGCGGAGAGAGTGATTTACAGCTTCTAAAACCTGCTTTTCGTCCAGTGCCAGTGGAAAATGTCTGTGCTCTGCCACCCAAGCCAAAACATGGGGACCACTTCTTGGTGTATGGGCCCAATGATGTCCTCATTGCGCTGCAGTACCTGTGTTACCAGCCCTATGAACTGAGCGGGAGCTCCCAGAGAACCTGTCTCCCTAACAACACTTGGAGTGGCACTGCTCCTATTTGTACTAAAGGTCAGACAAAATGTCTGGAATAATGAGTATTACAGCTAAAATGGATGAGTCATTGCAAATAACTTATTTTCATTTTGTTTTTTATCTTAACTGGATCAGAAAAAAGACCCAGTGCCTGGAGCCTTCAGCATGCTGAGCCAACTTTGAACAAAAGGATTTCCAATCAACTGCTAACTGGTCTTTTTGTGTGTGTGTGTGTGTTTATCCACAGTGAATAATACTCTCACTGAAGCAGAAAAAAGCAAAGACAAGGCAAACGAGACAGAAAAGAGCAAAGAAACTGAAAAATTCAGTGACAAAACTAAAGAGAAAGGTCAAAAGAAAATGGGAGAAAAAGAAACTGTCGGCTGGAAAGATATAAACACTCAGCATGAGAATACAACAGTAGTCGACAGAAAAGATAAATATACTGGTACCATTCCAGAGAAAACTGTGCCTGAGGATAGGAATGAAGGAGAGCTAGAGGAAAGAAATACTGGATCAGAGAAACCCACTCGAGGCAGCAAAGATAAAGTGGATAGCAAAGGCCGAGATAACAGCCTGAACACAATTGAAAAGAAGGAACCTGAGCTAGTAAAGCCACCAGAAAAAACAGAAAGCAGCCAGGACACAAACTTGGACACAGAAAAGACAGATATCACAGAAATAATTGTGATAAAAGACAAAGGACAAGAAGAGAAGGAAAGAAAAGAGGAGCAGGTGAATGGAAAAAGAGAACTGGACACAGTAGGCCCTAATGATACCAAGCTGAGAACGGTCATATCTGAGGGTGAGAACACAGTGGAGATATTTGAACTGGAAATGATGAAGAACAACAACACAGTTACTTATGATACAAAGGAGCCAGGGAGGAAAATCATTTCCACTAGAATCAACATTACACAGTACACCATGTACAGAGCAGGAGGTGAAGAAGGCGGGAAACCAAGGGAAAAATCCACAATCAAAGAGGACACGATAGACAAAGAGTCTTCTGAGAAAACAAAGAAGGAGCTGGAAAGGGAGCAGGAGGAAAAAGAAAAGGAGAAAGAAGTCAACCAAGTCACTGGTAAAGGTCTCATTTAGAAAAACACATTAAAATGCTTTGTATCCCACCTTTATCCTTGGCCTTTGCCTCACCTACATGTGTGTCGCCCTCCTGCAGAGAAAAGTTGCCCACCTCTCCCTCGCATCTACCATGGCTACCACCAGGTGGTGCTGGGGCTGGAACCAGAGACAGTGGAGTTTTTCTGTAACCACTCTTATGCTCTCAGCGGCGATGTCCGGCGTTCATGCCAGCCAGATGGTACCTGGAGTGGCAAACAGCCTCTCTGTGTCAGAGGTACGCTCATCTGTATCGCCATCAGCTTAATTACTGATGATGATATCAGTTGGCTGTGTTCAAAATAAAAATTACTGTAGGTATGTACAATACATACATATTTGTCATATGTATATGTTGTGTGTGTGTGTTTATTTGCAGCATGTCGAGAGCCCAGAGTGTCAGAGCTGGTCAAACAAAGAGTTCTTCCACCGCAGACGCCATCCAGGTACACATGACAATGCATTCTGTTATATAATCAAGCTTGACTTGCATAATTACTGTGTAATCTACTGTATGTTATGTGCTATTTGATGATTGAAGAATTAAAAGGAATAACTTTTATGTCATACAGTACATGTATGTACAGTTTGAGATCTTGGGCAGAGGTCTTTTGTCTGTTCCAGGGGGGATAGAGACTTTGCCGTCAGGGCTCTGAGGCTCTGAAATGATCTGTCTGAGTATATATATCTCTCTGAGTTGTAATAATTATAATAATAATAATACTTATTATTATTGCTCAGTATATGGGATATGTCATCTGAACATATCCTTGGCCATTTCTTCTCCCCTCAGAAAGACACCTGTGCACAAGCTCTACTCCTCTTTCCTGGGCCGACAGCTCCAGTCTCACGGCCCCACTAAAGGTCCCCCAGTGCTGCCCCAGTTGCCCCAGGGCTTCCACCACCTTTACACACATATAGAGTATGAGTGTGCTTCCGCCTTCTATCACCACTCTGGCAGTCCTCGCCGCACTTGCCTGAAGACTGGGAAATGGAGTGGCCGTCATGTCTCCTGCTCACCAGGTGAGGCCAGCAAAGGACCACTGGAAATAACCACCACACTCACACAGAACAAACACACTGGCACAATTTAATGCAATGATTTACACTCACACATCACCAGTGATGTGTGGATATAAAATTAAAATCCACTATGGGCACATGCAGCAGCGCTTTCTGAAAATATAATCACTGCCTATAATAGCTGACATTTAGCAACAGCTTGTCAGCTTTTTCACACAACTCTTAGGCATTAGTTGTAGTTGCAATCCTCTCATTACTATCCAGTGAAAGCTCCCAAGCTGCTAAGTAGAAATGCCAATACAGTAAATGAAATACAAGGAGAGTTTCAAACATCATCATCTTTGATTAAGGACATCCTTGCAGGCTGTAATCAAATATACAACTTATATACAGTATCTTAGACCCCACATCTCTTCTCTCTTATGCCTCAGTAATGACATCTTTTTTCAAAGAGATTATAGTTAAAACATTTACATATCCATGACCCCATAATACTGTTACCAATTCTAATGTAAAGGCTCTTGTTTACTCAGCAGCAATGAGTTCGTGGTGGGGTTTCTTATAAAGTGTATAGTTACCTATAAGAAATATTCAGTCACTAATACACAATTAAAAGTGCCAAAGAATGGGAGAGCATTCATATGGAAACTCAGTATTGGAGTTACTGTACATGATGTTTACTTATTATTTGGCTCCAAAGAAGGGGGGTATCAGGCCATCATCATTTTTCAAATCTAACCTACCCTTATCACAAAGCATCCCTGAAACTTATCTTCACCTAAGCAAAGAGCACGTATGTGGCTTGACACACAGCATCTGCATTGTATTTGCTCAGGTTAAGCAGTGGCTGACCCAACTGGCTTGTAATGGCACTTCTCAGGTCCGCTCAGTTGTCCAACCACTGACACTGTTCTACCAAGATTGTCAAACAAAAGAAAAATACACTACTAACGACCCAAGTGAGTCAATAACTATATTATCACCAACACCAATACAAGTTCTGTGTGAGTGTAAGAGTGAAGGCAAGACTACAGGCCTGACACCACTATGCTCTTAATACCATCAACTGCCTGCTGTCTCAAGCCCTGAATCTGCTCTTTATCGCTAAGAGCTGCAGCATGCCACCCACCTAAACTTTTGACTGGCTTCACTAACACTGATGGAATCAGCTCATCAGCTACAGTATACAATCCCTCTTGCTCTTCTACATGACTCAGGAACAAGCTGCTTCTTCCATGTTACTCTGCTTAGCCTCCACAAAAATAGCAATATGTCTGGGGGGTATATGTATAGTTTATAGGACACACTATTAGGCCCTGGGCTGTTCCTGCTCTTGCTTACCTAATTACCATCTCTCAGTGTTGCTGCTTTGGTGTTTACAGGACGTATTCTTAGTGGATCAAAAATAAACAATATCATCAGTGTAGAAACATGTGATATATCCAACAAATAGGAACACTTAATGCGAACAGATCCACACAGCACACGGCTGTTACATTTTTTGAATATGCTGAACAATAACATATTGAACCAGCAAGAGAGCACGGCGAGTTCTTCATTTGCAAACTGTGTACACATGCTCTACTGCTCTTGGCCTGGTCACACCTTCAAATAAACTCAGCCTGTCTGTTTGGTTCCCAAAGCCAATACTATAAACCAATGTTTTCTCTCAGCTTCTTTCCAACAAAATGCTACACTTGGTAAGTCTTCAAGTTTTTTATTATATCCTTTATATAGGTGGCTTCCTACTCTGTTATGAGTAGAAGGAAATCATACTGGAAAGATTCATTATATTAGGAAACATTTATTATTCATTGACGATTCATTATTAATAAGTCTAAGTCTGATGATAGGCGAAGATGTCTGAATCTCCATAGTGCATTTGTAGAGGTTTGGAAAAACATATCTATATATGTAATGGATTATGTAGAGACTCAGAAGGAAAAGAAAATGTAAAGACAGTCCCTCAGCACTACATGTGGACACAGTCTAATTTTTGCTTCTCTTGATCTTGCTTTCTCTTCCTGTCACCTTCTATTTGGCAGTGTGTGGGAAGCATCCAACCTTCGACCCAGAGAGGCCAGCAGAGGCTTACTGGCCTTGGCTAGCAGCCATCTACCGCCGCTCCACCATCGGCACAGAGACCAAGGTGATTAAGGCAGACAGCCAGGCAGGGTCCCTAAAAAAGGATGGTGCAGCAGGAACTGGAATTTACAATGAGGCTTCTGACTGGCAGCTGGTGTGCAGTGGGGCTCTGGTGAACCAAAGGAGTGTGGTGGTTGCAGCTCACTGTGTGACAGACCTGGGAAAGGTGTATCCCCTAGATTCAGCCGTGATAAAGGTGGTTGTGGGGAAGCACTATCGTGATGACGGCAGGGAAAGCAAAGTTCTCCAGCACCTGAGGGTGAGCTATTGTCCCTCCTATGCTTCCTGCATTTTTTATCTTAGTTTATTTTTAGCTAACTTTCACTCATTTTCAATTTTTTTTTAACCAAATTTGCACAGTAAGTCTGTCTTTCTCCTTTAGGTGGCCTCCATTGTAGTTCATCCAAACTACGACCCCAATATTCTCGACTCTGACATAGCTGTGGTCAAGTTAATGGACAAAGCGAGGATTGGGGAGAAGGTCCTGCCCCTCTGCCTCTCAGAAAGCCAGAAAGAAGAGATGACCTCTGGACAAGGGCTTGTGACAGGCTGGTCGCCACTGCCTGATTCAAGTTTAGGCCCTGATGAGAAGGCAAGAGTTGGGCTCGTTCATCTTACTGATGTGGTCCCATGTGAGCAGCAGTATGCTCGAAATGGCTTGCCAGTCAGTGTCACAGACAACATGCTCTGTGCAAGTCAGAAGCCTGACTACAAACCCTCTAACATATGTCCCTCTGACACTGGGGGAATCCTAGTCCTCCCCGCTGTCTCTGAGATCCAAGCCAGCAACAATCGGAATCCCTCTGTCAGCGATACACAGGTGCAGGGGGAGAGCAAAGGGCAGTGGACACTTCTGGGACTGGTGAGCTTTGGCTATGACCAAGGGGAGTGTGATCCTGACCTCTACACTGTCTATACACATGTGGCCAAATTCAAAGACTGGATACAGAGTAATATGAAATAAGAATCCTACTGTTTCATTCACCTTGTCCCTTCCATGCTTCCAGAATATTTAAAGACCTTTGTATCTTACCATTGTCTCCCATATTTTTGCCCGCTTTCAATCTGCTGCACCTCTGTAAACCTTTTGTCTTAGTCACATGCACAAGGGCATTTTGTTACTGGATGCAGAAGCAACACTGGACAACACAGTGCTCTAACTGAAGGGGTACTAACACGTTAGATGTGCTGGGCATCGACCTTCAGAAGACTTTGGTGTTCAGGTCCCTCAGTCTGAGGTTATGGACTTCAAATGAGCAGAAAACGATTTCAAGCCTCTTGCAGATGATGGTTTGTATTGTACCCACTGATATGTACTGTATATTGTATATGTTGCACTTGACTGAATTATTCTATCAGTTAATTTGACTTGCGAGATGTACATATTGTACCGAAAGACAGAAAAATCATGGAGTTTTCAATTAAAGAAAATATGTGTGTGAAAGCTTGTCAGAGTGTGGTTATTCATCATGGTATAAAACTTTATGTGAAAGCATGTACAGACGTATGCCACTAAGTACAGAATTCAGTTGTTGAGATGATGATGAGATGAGATGAAATGAGATGATGAAATGCCTCCTATTTGCTCTGTGAAGCAAATGAATCCAGGTCAAAGCTGCACCATTTTCACAATCAAAAGCAGAGCATATCATTCACAGATCAGTTCCCTCTTCTGCACTCAAATTGAATCAATGACTTCCATTTTGACCCTTTTGCCTTATTCATGAATGAGTTTACATACAGTAGACAGAGGAGCTGCAGCTTATATCGACTTTCAAGGGCAATAAAAATACATAATTATTCAGTAGCGCCGGTAGCTGGGATCTGGCTATTGGTTCATTTGTTCTTAATTTGTTGACTTAAAAATAATATTAACAAAAGTTATAAGCTGCTTTACATGAATAAATCATGATTGAAATATTTGAGTTCTACAAACCAATGAGCCAGTTAGGCAACTCAAAGTATGAAAGGAAATAAAATAAAACACAATACAATAAAACAAGATGAAACCCAATATACATAAAAATAGAAAAGATATTAGATCTGGAGAAATAATAATAAAAAAAACCCAGTGATTTAAATACTGTATGTTACTGAGTAACATACAACAAGCCTCATATAGGAATTTCCAGGCTGGTGGGTCCTGAGAAAGCTTGGTCTTACATTGGGATTGAGGAACAGATTAACTCTGCTTAATTGATTGAAAAATAATAAATCAGTAACAACGTAGCAGCCAGCTCATGAGGCACTTTGCCCCAAATTTGACATTTTAACACAGGTTCTTCAAATTAGGTCAAAGTTCACTGTGTTTACAAGATACAGTACATGTCAGGGTTAAAAATTTGGAAGTCACTTAACTCTTAGTTCACTTTGTTCTAGGCATTCACCACCACCACATCCCAATCTTGAGCACCCAATAAGTATGGATGGAATTCTTTTTATGTAAAGATGGCCTGTGCTTAATAGAAAAATGCTGCTGTTGGTGATTTGTTGATTTTACTCACCAGTCATTCCTTTAATTGATTTGTTTAAGTTTATTTACAATGTTTAGTATGTTAGTTGGACCTTTACAATTGAAACATAAGTTGTCTCACTGTTTCATTGTTTCCTGAGTTTATACCCATTAAAATATGATCTATAGCTTAACAGGTGACTGTAGGCTAGAAATAAAGTGGACATCTTAAGGAATTTGTTTAGCGACAGGGGTGTTTTATATGTGTATTTTAAACATGACCTCTTGACCTGTTTAATCCACTTTGGGGGTCATTAAGTCTTTGTTTGAGGCTTATTTGGGGTATTGTAGTGTAGTGGAAATAAGGTATAAAGTATAGAAAATGTTTAGGATTTGTACCTCCAGAACTGGTCCAGCATCTACTGTATGAGTACAAAGGGCACCCAACAGATTGGACTTTGTTATGCTACTGTATCTCTACAATATTCATCATGGCTTGTTAAGTAAATCTTCTCAAATGGGAATTCTTGAGTCCATTCAACATGTGACCTGAGTAAGATAAAGGGTCATTGAAGGTTTGCGGATGTGGGCTATTAACTGTAAGCTATGGTCTGTATTTAATGTGATTCATGTAATATTAGTGTCCTAACATGGGGCTTGAATCAATATGAATTATAAAGTAAACCAAGATTACATAATGCTTTTCTTCAGATGACGACTTCTAATTCAATGTCTTAAAAAAAAATCATTCCCATAAATATTCCACATCAATGGCAATATCTAAATTTAATACTTTTGACTTCTACTGGGCACTGGATATATAATATATGTTCTAAAACCTTATGAGCCTGAACATATCCAGAGGGCATCAGACCTTTGTCTCTACATTTTCCAGATCTAATTTTCTTTCCACAGATGATGTGTGTGGTCAAGGACTTAAATCTGGATTGCAGCAGTGTTTTTAGGATTGGTTTTGTACAAGTTTTATTTGTTTTATTTTGCTATCTCCAATAAATTATTAATTTCTTCTAAAACATATTCTGCTGTTTTATTTGTTTTAACCTTTTGTTAGTGCTGCAGTTTTTTTATGTTTTAAATTGTTTTCAAAAATTATTTTGTAAAATGTATTTCTAAAATACCCGACAAAGTCTCTTTTGTTAATCTTACTATAATTACTATTATTCTAATAGTAATATTTCAACATAATTGAAGGCACAACGGCTGTAATGCCATTGTTGCACTCCGCAGGAGCAGCATCAATTAAAGACTTTCTATCCTCCTTCACCCATTTACTAAAGCTGAACAACAGTTTAGTATAGTCCCATGTTTCCCAGAGGAGAGCCCTGCCTGCTTGGGCTGGGAGACTGTCCGTTCACAGGCCCTGGTTAGCTCACAGGGCATCGTCAATAGAAACATGGGCAACACTTAGCTGAAAGCTGACTGGCCTGGGAAAAGAGATGTAACCCTGAGCAAAATACCTGGATAATGAGGAGAACATGCTACCATGAGAACTTTGTTGTCAGCACTGGAAAGACGGAGGGGCAAAATACTTAACACTGGATTTACAAAAAAAATGTTTGGGTTTCACTCCAATTTCCCAGTTAGGCTGTTAGGCCCTCTGTGCTTTGTGTCCAGTGTGAGGAGAAGAGCTCTGTGAACTAAGATATTTTGGCACAAAGGATCCACACACAGCTCTGCTGTTAGTATTCTGGTCTGACATGTACAATGCGAGGCTGCTACTGTGATGCCCTTAAACATTTAGATTTCAAGAATGAGTCTGGAATTAGTATTTTTTCTTATTCTTCTTCCTGTTGAAGATATAAGGCTTTAAAAATGGACAGAAACATTTAAGGCAAGGCTGGGCATATTTTGGTTTTATAGCAAACATTATTCAAACAGGAATAGTGCATTTTTTCAGCCACAGACCGACACATTTGTTGCACAGGTTAGTATTTACAACAATAGAACATGATATCAGGGACTGAATTAAGCTACAAAGTTCATGTTCATTAAGAGGAAGTAACTAGTCACTTGTCAGCAACAGGTTGGCTTGTTTATTTGTTTTAAATAAAGGTCTAAGGCACAGAAAAATAAGCTACTGTACTGTATATGATGCTCTGAGTACATAATGTTATTGATGGTTTGAAGGGATTTGTTGAAAATAAGAAAATGACAGAATACCAATACCCTTAGTAATGTGTGAGCTGCCCTGTGGCATTATCCCTACCCTCATTTCCACCCCTCATTCCCTTAGCAACCCAGAGTCATTCTTATTCCAGCCCCTCTAGCCCTCTAATCCCTACAGTATGAACAGAGCAGAGTTATAGTCCGTCATTACTTGCCATAGAAAATGGAAGATAGCTATTTACACACTGCGACACTGCCCTGAATAAATAGACAACACACACTGTCTCAACACATAAAGCAATTTTGCTGTTGACTGTTTTCATCCATATGCAGACCTGGGACTGAATTGCACAGCCAGAAGTGGCAATATGATTTATTACAGCAGTGATTGTTTGACTCCTACAGCTGGTGCATTAAACCTGCATGAAATCTGGCTGCTGCTGCTGCTACTGTTGGACTGAGAAGCAGTTGTGAGCAGACATGAATATGGAACTGGGAAAAGTGAATACAGACATAACAAGATAGAGAGGGAATGAATGAAAGAGAGTGTAGGAAATATGCAGTATGTGCATGCTGTGAGCAGGTGGTGTAGCTGTCCTTGTGTACCGTTCACCAGCACCTAAGTGTCATTCAAATACATAAGGTTTAGCACACAGTTCAATACTTGCATTAACCTCCTCTCTCAAGAAAACCTCCAGGGGGTATTTTGAAGGTCTTGTCAGCTTCATTACCCTTGAACAACCTTAATAACACTTTTCTAAGTTCTCTGATTGCTCGTAGTCCAAGTCTGACAGGGTCAATGTACCCTTTATACTGGGCAGGTGCAAATAGCAGCTGTGTGTTGTGGTTTTGTCCCTAAACAGCTTGTTAACATGCACAGCACAATGTCCAGTTCTAAAAAATAAATCCAGTTTTAAAAGGTGCAAAGTTTATGTTGGTTCATAAAATCTTCAACGCCCCCCCAGTGTTTAAAATTCATTCTCTATAGTTTTGTCCTCCCAGATACATGCATGAAAGGGTCAGAATATTAGGAACACCTCTGAATATAAGTATGTGTAGTCCAGTACAACAACACCTTTAACCGTGACCTCATGAATTTATATATTTATGACAATGTCATCAAAAACTGAAATGTTTTGAGCTTCATATGATCAGATGTTAAGGCGGAAGTGTCGCACTGAATTGCATGCTGAAAAAACATCAACTGGACATCAACTGGACTTGGTTTTAGGTCGAAGACGTTTCACCTCTCACCCAAGAGGCTTCATCAGTTCTGCCTGACTGGTGTTGAGCTGGAGATATTTATCCCCATGGTGTTTCAGTCCTTTGATGGCCAACAATGCCCCCTAACAATTGAGGGTTGTAGCCCATAATCAGTGAGCGTCGTTACCTGTCTTTGAACCCTCACCTATGGACCGACACCTATTGTCCTGGTGGGCATGAATACAACAACAGGAAACTGAGTTTTTTTCAGAATACTATGACCTGGATGACTGAGAATCTGCACAGACTGAATTGCATGTAATTGTACAGGTGTACCTAATAAAGTAGCTGGTGAGTGTATATACAGTTTTGGAGTCGTATACAGTGGTGCTTGTTTAAAGTGACCTCAAATTAAACATTTAAGCATAAATGTCTAGCTATTAAAAATGATAAACAAAATGACACCTGCAAGCTATTTTCAGCAGACAGCAGCAGTACTGTACCACATAACCATTTTTCCTGGTGACGTCTTTCCCTTGGGGTGTTCCTCTCTAACATTTCACCTTTGACATAATCCCTTGTGTACCAACTCATTCTTGTCCTGCTAGCACTCCTGCTCACTCATTGCCCCTGCAAGAATTTTCCTTTACTTG